GATTAAAGTACAGTAAGAACAGCAATGTTACAAGCATAAAAAGCACAGAGCTTCAGCAGACATTTTAATGTGGCTTCAGGCTCAGGTGGTCCATCATGGGGAGCAGGAATAAGGTGGGGTTGTCAGTTCTTACTGAGAAAGCCAGGAAGATGTTTATTGTGCAGTACTGTGTAAAAATCTTAGGCACCTAAGCCCACTGTCTAAAAGCATTCATCTTGGCAGTAATTGTGTTTGGTGTGTGTAAAAACACCACACATCATTAGACTAGACACAAATAAGCATACATGCAGTAAAAAGTAAGGATTATTTTGTTTTGTTTTTAAAAGAGTAGTTGATATCTGAGCTAGTGTTAAGAGCATAGTTTAGTTCCAGATTATTCATCAATGCCCTCAAACCAGGGGTCGGCAACCCAAATATTAAAAAGAGCCAATTTGTCCTTTCAACAAAAATCAAGCCACCTTAGGAGTCACAACATTTTATGCACATTTTACCATCTTGGCTGTAAATATGTCTCAGTGTGTGCTGATGTGCTAGTATAGACTAAAAATATAATATCAACGAAAACGCAGACTTACTTTGTTCTGTTTTAAGCTTTAGCTGAGATATAGCCGCTTTTCTCGCATCTCCAGCTTCTCATTCGCCAGCTTCTCATTTGAATTTACCCGTTTCACCTTAAGTGGTGCAGCAGTTACATTCTGGTACTATTTAAGGTGGAACAGGAAAATTCGAACATGAAGACTTTTTGACAGTTTCTTGTTGCGGATTAAATGTATCAGAAAACCAGTCCATTCGCCTGCTTTTAAAGCCGCATAAGTGCTTTAAAAGAGCCGCATGTTGCCGACCCCTGCCCCAGACAATACATAAAAATGTTAAATTCTATCACCAGCACACTTGATTTAACATAGTGAAGTACTGCTTAGCCAAATAAGGTATTGAATGATAACTACAGATAATACCTGGCATGAGAAGAAGGCTAAAAATAAAATGACTACTTTTTATGTTAATATTATTTGTATTTATTTGAATATTAGTGTTTTTTAAGCAAACACTTGCTGTTTTTTTTTAGTCTAATGTATGTATAATGCATATCCTTCTCAGTCTTTCTCATTTTCTCAAACTGCTGTACTTGTCAATCAAATGTGTTAACCTCTCTCTAAGAAATGTGCCCTGCATTTAAATAGGCCTCAAAATAAATAGGCCTTTGTCTGTACTGTCTTATTTTGTTCCATGTTGCACCATGTTCCTGGAGGAATGTAATTTCGCTCCACTATGTACTTGTACATAGATGGAATGACAGTAAAAGCCTCTTGACTTGACTTGACTCATCTGACCACCCCCTAACAAGATATAGGCGTGTATTGCCATGATGTTACCACTTTGTTTTCTGGTGGGCTGTTTTTCTTCCAGTGCGTTTTAAAATAGCCTGCTTCTATATATATGCAAAACCAATAGCTTGTGAATGGTCAGTTTGCATGTCAGCAGAATAGCCCCTTCCTGTCAAATTAGGCAATTTTTGGCCGTCCTTGCGATGAAAGCTACCAGACTTCCTGCTGATAGACTCCAGACAGTATAACACATGATGTTTCCATTATCTTCTATATGTTTATGTTTTCATCTTGAGCATTTGGTCCCCACAGTGGGATAAATACACACACTCACACTCAGCTGAATGGTCATTGTTTAGACTTTTATATTCCACCTAATTAATCATGCACTGTTAATGTGAAGTTACGTCACGTCATTACAGAAACATTTTCAGCCACTGTAATTATCACTAACTCAATGACAGTCACGAGTTTCTAATAAAACTGGAATATTTTGGGCCATTGTGGTCCAACAATAGAGTCACTCTCCAGATTTTCATCTCTCTTTCACTCTCCCTCTTCTTTATACACTCTCTCTCTCCTCTATACTCTCACTACAATACCGTAGAATAGAGTCTGACTCTAATGGAACTGCGGGCTTTGTGTTGCTCACTTCATCTACACATTAGAAACACCATTCAACACAGGCTAATCTCTTTCTCTCTCTCTCTCTCATTTCTTTCTAATGCTAAATTCACAACTTTTGTTCTCCTAATTCTCTCTCTCTCTCTTCATCTCTCTCTATTAGAGATGGAAGGATCAGTCGGCTGTATATCGGTATCAGCCAGTTTTCAGCCCAAACTTACGATGGGCAATCAGTCGATATTTCTCTAACTTTAGCTAATCCTGGGAGCTGATAAGTGACATTAAACATATGAGCCATGTTTCACCTGAGGTGCCAGAATGTAACTGCTCTCCTATTTAAGGTGGAACTGGAAAATTTGAACAAGAAGCTGGCGAATAGACAGCCAACTTCAGCCTTGTAAAAACTTTTTCACTAGTGGAAAACATAATTTCTGAAGTATATCATTACATATTTGGCTCCTATTTGCTGTAAACTTGCTGTTTTTGTTGTTAAAACCTTAAGGATATGTTTATGTTAGCACATTAGCTAGCATTCAAGCACTAATCTTAGCTTACACCACACTATGTTCATGACCTATGGCTTGACAGGGGCTGTAAATAAAAAATAAAAGACGCAGATCTACAAAAGCGATTGTATGTCAGCCCTTTTTTATGCCATTTTTAAAAATCTATCCATGAAGCAGGAGGACTGTTTTGTCCTGTTAGTGGCGCCTGTTGCATAGTATCCGAATATTTCAGTAGTTGTGCTAGCCTGAGGCACCAGAATGTGATTGAAAATTTCACACAAGAACCATGAGGATTGACTTCAGCTTCCTCGAGATTTGAAAGGCATGAAAAGAGATGAGGAGGTTTGCTCTGTTTCTGCTTGACAAATAGGTAACATTAACTTATTTTTTACTGTTTCATAGAACCAATTTGGTTTAGTCTCGTGTCCCATTTGCTAATGTTTGTGATAGCAGCTGGTTAGCTTCACAGGAGTGATCGGAGCGGTAGTTTGCTAACCCACAACGGAGCTAATGTTAATTACATTACTTGCTGTGTCGTTGTTCGCTTTAACGTTATATTATGATATAATGTAATATATATAATATGATATATATTATGATTGTCCATACAATGTTTGTGAAGGGTTTTATGGCTATGGAAATCTAAAAAAGTGTTGTTTGCCTTGGCAGTTTGCATCCATACATTATATCGATCTATCTCTACTCTCTATGTCTGCCTGAATCTCTCTTTCTTTTCTATTATACTTTCCTTAATCTTGTTTAAATATTTTTCTTCTCCTTTTTTCTTTCTTTTGATCTTTTTTCTTACTCTCTCTCTTTTTAATTTAATTCTCTATCATTCCTCTCTCTATACATAAGCCTCAGTACAGTCTCTGACCTTTTTCCAGCTGCCTGTGCTTTAATTACGCTCCAGACTCCAATTCCCACGTTCCCCGGCTGCTCTGCTCCTGATTGGGTGATGAACTTTAGGCCAGTGAAGCGAGAGCTGATTGGGTTTCTCAGTAAAGGAGAGAGTTTGGAGTGGAGGGGTTATCGCTAGTGTCACACACATTGTTTTATGCAAAAGCGGTTTGTGTGTGTGTGTGTGTGTGTGTGTGTGTGTGTGTGTGTGCGTGTGTGTGTGTGTGTGCGTGTGTGTGAGGGCTGCTTTAGTTCAGTTAATGGAGGTTAATAGGTTTCTGTATGTGTTGTATTTGGGAGGTCTATGAATAATTCTTGGTATTTTAGACCAAGTTAACACAACTTGCAAAATGTAATGTAACTCTATGGAACTGAGCCAGTGATCCATTTTGAGACTTTGCTAATGTTCCCTTTAAGTGATTAACATCTGCTTACAGGGAGGTTTGTGAGTGTCAGAGAAGTTTGAGGGGTTTGTTTGTCCACACTGGTCAGTAAAATGGATCAGAGTGTGGAATTGGAGCTTTCTATGTGCTACTGTGTTATCACAGTATAGTCGTATGCTAATGTTTGGGCACCCCTGGTCAATTTGTATGTAAGACTTAATTTAAGATTTAAAATAAGTGAACACATCCTCTACAGAGAACACACTTCTGCACATTTTAAAGCACAATTACTGTTTATTTGCTGAATTCACATATTGGAAAAAATATCAAACATAACATGCAGCCTGTGCAAAAGTTCTGGTACATTTTATATTTTGTATTGTTGAGTTTAAAATGTTAAACTCAGAAAATCAAGAGAAATTGTGCACAGAAATTTTCAGAAAAATGTCATATTTAATTTTGTTCACTGTAAAGGACGTGTTAACTTTAACAGAACATGTAATCTGACCATGAGTATTAAAGTCTATGACTGTATAGAAGATGCACAAGGCTTCCTAATTTTTTAACATTTAAAAAATAAAGAAATGTTATGATAAGTAAAATGTGTAAGAAATATTCACCATTTTGCCAAATGTGTGACAAAGTTGTGAAAAAAGTCTTTTGGGTCTTTTCTACGGAAGGCCATAGAGGCCATAACATTTTTTTCTGGATTGTTATCTTGAAATAACGAGTTCGTTATCTTGGTATCTCGAGATAACAAAAGTTGTTATCTTGAAATATCGAGTTAATTATCTTGGTATCTTGAGATAACAAAAGTTATCTTGTTATGTCAAAATTACAAAGTTGTTATCTTGAGATAATGAGTTAATTATCTTGTGATAACAAGTTAATTAACTCGTTATCTCAAGATAACCATCCAGAAAATTATAGCAACCAGCTTATGGCCTCTCCAGACTTCCGCACTTTTCTGTTCTATTGAAGTTTGTGTTCAGGTGGGTTTGATCTGCTCATTAGAGGTTTCTGTACGCTGTTGTTAAAGCAAAAGGGCAACATACTGTACCAAAAACTGGGAAATTTGAAATTCTTATACTGATAGTATCATCTGTAATGGAAGACTGTGCTAATTAAGAAAAGTGTTTTGGAGCCCACTGTATCAGAATAAATGTGACAACAGCACTGAGAAATTGCATTATGAAAGAAAAGAGAGATGAAACAGCACAAATAAGTGCTTTAATACGTTTTTAATTGTTATTGTCTTTCAGCTCCTCAGTTGTTGGGATCATTTCTGAGCTTTGAAAGGTAAGAAACAGCTGCATGCTTGTATGACTCACTCATGGACAAGTCCTGCTGCAGCTGCTGCTGTTTTACACATGGCTGATGAGTTTGTGGGGGGAGTGCTGAGGGGAGGGTCACTTTTGGCTTTTTGTCTGTTGTGATGTAAACACATCTGTAAGCTGTGTAAACCTGTTCCTACAGTACACACGCACTAGGTCTCTTGCGCTTTCTCTCTCTCCATGTCTCTCTACCACACACTCTCACACACATACTCTCTTACTCTATTTTTCTTCCTTTTCTTTCTCCTGTTCTCTTTCACTTCTCTCTCTTCTTCGTTTCTTTTTTCTCCCTTCTCTCACTTTTTTCTTTCTTTCTATTCTCTCTCCTCTTTTTTTTACTCTTTCTTTCACTGTCTTCCCTTATACACATTCTCTCTCTCTCTCTCTCGCTCTCTCTCTCTCTCTCGCTCTCTCCCCCTCACTCACTCAGTTTAATCATCGTCCTGAACACTGTCCTGCCTTGGCGCCCTCAGAATTCTGCTCAGCCAATCAGAATGTTTACTGAGCCATGACTGACAGTGATAAATGCCCGCCCCCTCCCATCATCAGCACTGTTAACAAGAGCAAAGCATGCTGGGTACACACTAAGGGAGAAGAAAATAGGCTCATTAATAACCAACTGTGTGTGTGTGTGTGTGTGTGTGTGTGTGTGTGTGTGTGTGTGTGTGTGTGTGAACATACAGAAGACAGAGGAGAAATGAGAAGGATGGAAAAGGACCTTAACAGTGGGAGGGGGGAGGGGTAGAGAGAGAGAGTAGACAAGGAAAGCAATAAGAAAAGGTGATGGAAAGGGAAAAAGTGGAGAAAAAAGAATGAAAGATAGACTTGATCATATGTTGAACATATGAGAAATTAATTATTTAATTATTTGACTTTTTCTGAATGTATGTGCTTTTCGACAGCTAATTGTTACTCACTTTCTTTCTTATCCACTTTGCAAGTTCGTTAGAGGTAATGTGGGGAAAGAAGATTTATGTTGTTTATGTGAGTGTGCATTGTTTATCTACATTTGTCCTCCTCTACCTAACCAGGTCAGTTGCAGCCATCTCTTAACATAAACTGCTCTAGTTCACTATATTTTCACAGAGCACATTAAAATAATTTTATTTTTCATATAGGGGGTATTCGAGGGTTTTATGGGCACATAGAGAGCATTAGAGGGTATTAATTGGACATAGAGGATATTAAGGGGCATTTAGGAAACATGTGGGCCTTTAGGTAGACATAAGGGGGACATAAGGGCAGTGGGAGACATAGGCAGCATAGGAGGCATTAGGAGATGAAGGGAATACTACAAGATGTTGAGGGGACATAGGAGGCATCAGCAGCACTACTGTGCATTAGGGGGCGCTGGGGCTTATACAGAGACCACTTGGAGGCCTTAGGGGAATATAGGAAGCTTTTGGGATATAAACGCATTTAGGGGACATGGGGACATTAAGGAGCAGTAGAGAAATATAGGAGGCATTAAGGCAACATAAGGAGCATTACATGGACATGGAGCCTTTAAGAGGGCATTGTGGACATTAGACATAGATGGCATTAGAAGATGTGGGGACCACTAGGGGATATTAGGGGGAGATAGGGAACATTGAGGGGACAAAGGTGATATTAAGGGCACTAGAGTGCATTAATATAGAGGGAGCGTATATATAGAGAGATCACCAGGGGTCAACAGGGAGACACAGGAGACATTAGATTGGCATCAGGGACACATGGGGATGTAAGGGCATCAGAGAGACATTAAGTAGACATGGGCATTTGGCAAAAAGAGGAATATTAACGGGACATAAGGGGCCTGGGGGCGTAAGAGAACACTAGGGAGAAATTGGGGGATACAGGCAGTATTTAGAGGACATTGGAGAGCACCAGGGCATTCAGGGTCATTAGGAGGACATTGAGACCATTACAGGTAACCACTACATAGAGACCCTTCTTCTTTTTGCAAGTCCTTTTTCTATGGTGATCATGTTTTCCACAGTATGGAGTAGACATAAATGAGCCTAAACTCCACTGTTTTCCACAGTATGGAGTAGATATAAATGAGCCTAAACTCCACTGTTTTCCACAGTATGGAGTAGATATAAATGACCCTAAACTCCACTGTTTTCCACTGTATGGAGTAGATATAAATGACCCTAAACTTCACTCTTCTTCAGTCACAAGTTTTACATTTCCACTTATCATAAAGAAACTGGATGTATGCAGGAAGCCCGAGGAAGGAAAATTGGTTCTCTCTGCTCCAATGCAGACACACGCTCATCGAATCCATTGGAAGTCTCAGCCACGCTCTCTCCTGCTCGGCTGAATTTCCAAAATAATTTTAAAATGTAGCTTGGTTTATTTTATCTTCCACTCGCACATCAGCGAAAAACAAGAGCAGCAGCTAAAGTGTTTGTGTTATGACCAAAATGGTGTAATGGAGATTTCTATCAACAGAGTCAGTCTGATGGGGATACTCGTCCTAAATTCACCTCCCGATAGTCTCTAGGGAAAAGTGTCTGTACACGTGTGGTTGTTTCAGGTGATTAGAGTTTTTTTGGCACAAGTAGTCTCGTCTTGGAGCAGTGGAATAGAAAATAATATGTGTATACATGAGTCTGAAGTCATCACTGTGAAATTGCATGTGTGCATACATAAGGATGGACACTGCATCTAGAGCTTTCTGCATGCAAAATTGACCTATACATGTTCTGCCCACAAAAACATTTGCTCTTACCAACTGTTGATAAGGCAAGAGGTACAGCTGGCAAAAATCCCATTCAACCCAAAGAGAAAATGCAGCATAGTTTTTGTTAAAACATGTCAATAATTGAGTTAGGACTATAGCTATAAATTTGCCTTTATATGGGGTTGAGCTCCCTGTTTAAAATGCTGTGCTACTGAGCTGGACTGTCTTGTAGCTAATTGAAATTAGGCTTTATGGAAATGACAGTGGGATAGAATTTACTTTAAATTGCTTACATGATAAAATACAGATATAAAATAGATAGCATTAGAAATTAATAACACATCCTAAATGTTTGTATTTTGACAAAAGCCTGCAGTTTTTCATTAAGTTGACATTTTCACCAGTGTTCTGCCACCTAGAACTTGATCTGTGGATTTAGCTCAGGTCAGTCCAGAACAGCGTCCCAGCATCAAGAAGGTAACTTCAAAGTGTGGAACCACTACCTAGCTTCTCCTGAGTCATCAGGTTGTACCTGCGAAGTAACTGAAGTGAGCCAACATGTGGTATTGACCAATCAATCAATAAATCAATCAATAAATAAATAAATACCTGACCAGTCATTCTTTACAGGAAAAAATAAGGACCAATCATGTTTTAGCTCTGGGCATCTCAATCATTATCCGTAGTGTAAAGTTTTTTTATAGTTTTGTGAAGCAAAAGGTGCCTAAAAGCTAGGAGAACATCATTGGAAACTGAGATGATTTTGAATGTGTTGCTTAGTTTAAGATCCCTGAACCCAGCGTTTAATGATAGATGCAGTGGACAACTCAGGCCTAATGACAGTAGTTTGTCAGATTATGTACAAATGAACAGCTGGCTAATGTAACATGCAAATTTAGATAACTAGCAAAGATTACATATAAATTAAGCTAGCTATCTACCTAAGTTGATAGTTTGATAGTATGTGTGTGTTTTTGGATAGATCATTAGGTGGCTAAGTCATTTTCTGTAGCCTAGCTAGCTGACTAGTGTAGTTGTAGTTTGTTTGTACATGGAAGGAGAACCTGTGACCATAGAATCTCTAGTGAGGAGAACTGCAATTAAGTAATCACTTCCAGGTTGATCAGACAATAGAGGGATCTAGAGCCCTCTGGTTTGTCTGTTTCACAGACAAATGCAATTTTTTTTCCAGCACAGAGTTGCTTGAAATGTTTCGACTACAATTCAAAAGTTTGGAATTTGAAAATTGAAAAACCAAAAAATGTATAATATGTGCATCTAAATACGATATCTAAAATAATTAGTTAAATAAATAAAATTATGGATAATATAATGGACCGTGGCAGCTTCAAATTCAGTTCTATTTTAGTTCATATGCTTTTTTTTAATATAAACTTTTTAATTTAGTGAAAGTATGTAGTATGATACTGAATAACCATCTTTCAACCAACTACTTCATCTGTCATTATATTAAACATTACTGCAAACACGTGTGTCCATCAGCTTCTTCTACCTGCTGGAGAAACTTTAGACTGCAGGTAATTTCCAAAGCCGTGCCAATGTGCACTTCACATTAAAAACAAGGTGACACTTAATCTGTACAGAAAATGCTGCACATTTTACACAGTAAATCACATGCGGCAGAGACAGTGCAGTCTACTTTACCGGAGCTTTAAAGGTCTCATTATTACTCAATGTTTTAAGAGTAAAAGTGAATAAAACATTTTGTGTATTATGTGTATACCAACCATAAACGAGGATCAGAGGAACTTTCTCTTCAGGTTAGAGTTAACTTAGCTGCTCAACGCTTATTTTAAGTTAAGCTGTTTTTTTTGTTTGTTTGTTTGGTTTTTTTTTACTGCAACAAGTAATTTGCGGGTGAGCTTAAGTTCTAAAGCACATTGACATTCAATTTAGATTCCTTTCACCTAAGGTATATATTTAGGGAAACAATATAGTCAGTTGTGGGGAGCTCATTAGCTAACCAAGTCAAAAGCAATGTAGGTTAACTTGAATTTAGGAGGAATTCCACTACTTTACACACTTCACTTTATCCTGCATGTGTATCTACAGTGTATCTAGAACAGTCTGCTTTCATTGGAGAGCAGGTGGACTCTCAGCATAATGCAGAATTAGCTGATGCTTTAGACACGTCAGGTTCTGTTAGTGCTCCGCTGTCATCCCCCTTAAACACAGCCCACTGGCAATCTCTCTCTCTCTCTTGCTCTCTCTCTGCACCTGTTTTGTCTCTCTCTCCATCTGCTGACCCTTGTTCCCTCCATTCTGTAAAATGA